AGTCAAGAATTTTCACTCTGCTCACTACGTGCCGTACGTTGGTGCATATTCTTCACTGAGCCACGTGATTAAGCGAGTATGTGCGCATCAATAGCTTTTATCTTCTTTAAACATGACAAACATGACAATAACAGCCAATTGTCCGGCGGTCGTGGAGTTTGTGCAGGTGACTATAGGCAACTGTGTTACACGTTGGCACACTTACGGAAAAAAACATGTGCAACTCGCATACGCACGCGGACGACACTGCTCCCGTTTTACACGAATACAGCTGAGATTTCGAGACGAGTCTTTTGCGGTCGCAACTTGAGCCAGACTGGAATCACCAATAGGGATAAAGCTGTGGCATCCATGACGTGCCGATTACATCTCATCTCTGATTGGTGATCTAGTTTACAGACAAACGACTACTCTCTCCGCCGTTTTCTCTCTCTCTCTACCTCACGCCTTCTCGCCTGGTCTATGGCGCGCTAGCACGTACACACGCACGCACGTACGCGCGTACATAACTTTGGTTACAGACGTGCACGCACGAAAATGCGTATCAATGTGCTCGCGTGCTGCATTATGTGTGTGGTTACGTTCATAAGCGACAGACGAATAATAAATGAGCGCACACAAACACGTATACGTAAGCATGAATGTACGTCTGTATGCATGTGCGCGAGCACACACACATCCACACAATGAAAATCAGCGGCCTAGAGCGAGACACAGAGACAAACAAACCCGGCGCGACAGGTATATTGCACTTTCCGTGTTCTAAGCAAGGCTACGCACAGGTCGGCCTCATGTTTGTACGATTCGAGAACGCGTGATCTGCCCTTCGTTCGTTCGTTCGTCCGTCCGTCCGCCCGTCCGTCCGTCCGTCCGCCCGGAGTATCATCACCCTCCTCTCTGGCCTTCGTACTAAGTCTTGTTCTTATCCCACACAGACAACAGAGCACATTCATTACCGTACACACGAACGTACGTGCACATGCGCGGACGCACATAGGCACACGCGCATGCACGCATGCATTGAATGCCCTAACTCCACCACCATACTACTACTACTACTACTACTGCCATGACTACTCGCCCGATCTCCTTCACACACATACACACACGCACTGAGCTCATTGGCTGTGCTATGATCTGACAATTGGTGAAAAGTCCGCGGATCTTTCTCGTTCAACGTTTGACTTGGTTTTTGTACATTTGCACACTCACGTACACTCAGGCATTCGGTTGCTGACCTCACGAATATCGGTTGTGTGCAGGATTTGGTTTTTGTCACACTCGCACTTCAACTCGTAACATGACTCCAGCCACTGACTGACAGACCTCTTAAACACCCTCATCCAGC